TGCAAGTAACACTTGTCTGCAATATCTGTATACAGATCCTTTCCCAGGATCCCAATGCAGCATCTCTAGTGGATAGTGCTTCAACAACAATGAAGAACAGCCCTAGTCAGATGGCTTCTCTTGCTTGTGAACATACATGAGAATTCCCCAACAAATTATAGCTCCTTGCAGAAAAGACAACTATAATTAATCTTGAGTTGCTTGGGGAACCTCTTTCATAAGACAAAGTGCCCAGTCACCAACTCCGGCAGAAGAACAAAATAACATTACTAAAACCATGCCTGTAATTGAAGCGATCCTTCCAATCATCTCACAAGTCATAATTCTCTACTTTTTTGAAATTAGCTTCCTCCAACTTTGTCCATTTTAAAAAATGCACCTAGTAGGACAGTCCTGATCATGCTAAAAGGGTACCAATGAAAATGATGGGGATGACAAGAGTTGGGATCCAAAGCCGGAACAGAATGAGTCTGAATAGACAAGTGATGGGGAAAACCTAGGCTACCTTGAAGAAGAAGCATTCTTTGCAATCCCACCAGCTAGCTCAGGGGTCCTCAAACTTGGCAACTTGAAGACTTGCGGACTTCAACTCCCAGAATGGCTGGGGAATTCTGGGAGTTGAAGTCCGCAAGTCTTCAAGTCGCCAAATTTGAGGGCCCCTGGGCTAGAGAAAAGGAGGCAATGGTTTTCCGTCAGAGCCCAGGGATCTATCGGAGAACATCCAGCCAGCTTAAAATAGAGCCTCTTTGAGGCGCTGCAAGCCTCTGATGGGGTGGCCAGTAGGTGGCATCATTCCTCTACGAAGTCACTCCGGCGACTCTCCCGGGCACTGAGGAGCAAGAAGCCGAGGAGGCAGCCACCCCGACGGCCTTCTGCAACCTGGGGCCCTCCAGAAAGCTGGACTGCGGCCCACACAATGCCCAGCTAGCACGGCCAAGTCGACCGGTTTGGTTGAAGAAGTTCGCGGCCCGAAGATTAGAGGAGGCGGCCACGCCACCAGAACCTTGCTCCGCACCTACATTTCCCCTTTCTTCGCGGCGAGCTTCTGGGGAGAGTGTGGCCGTCGTTCTCTGGGGAAGAGGGGATCCTCCCTCCCCTTTGCCGTGGAGGGTGGGGTGTTGCAACTTGCCAGCTTCTGTTCGTCCCTCAGGGCGATTCACAGCTGCCCTGAGAGGAAAAAGGGCAGCTAACCTTCTTAGATCTGGAGCTAGCCGATTTGGGCATCGGTTTTCAGGTCTGACCTAAGCAGTCCCTTCTGCCTCCAGGCTTGGACCGACGGCGGCCGGGAACTTTTCCGTCGTAGTTCTCCTGAGTCGCTTCTTCTGTCTTTACTGCCGCAGTCCGGGCTCGGTGAAAGATGGCGACCGGGTCAGAGATTATCTGCCATTCTGACACGCGAGTCGCTCCGATTCACTCAGTCAAGAACCGGTCGTTTCTCTCAAGGGTTAACGGTGCCTTCCTTTCCCACGGGTTTGGAGGAGCTTAAAAGATGGAAGTCTTATTCTGTGATCAGAGCGATCAGGCACAATCTCTCCCAACCGTCGAAGAGACGAATGGAAACGGAGTGAAACCGGAATGTTGGACGGTTGAATATAAACCGTAACGAATCCAGCCGTCGGGCGTGTCACAGGATCTCCGTTTCTCTCGTTACGGAATAAAGTCGGTGGTTATTTACATTTCTGATCCCTTCCGGGTGACCTCATCCTAGGAAGAGCGTTTACCACTCGGCATTAACAGGTCTGATGATATCTCCAGCCCGTTGTGTATCTGAGGGAAGGGATCCACCTGCCTCACGTTGATTTAATAAATGTTGTATTCTTTATGTGTGTCCTCTCTCGTCCCCCAAAGCCGACTAAATACTTGATCTCTATGGAAATTTCCCCAATTTAGGCTTATTCTTCAGCAAAAAAAAAAAGAGAGAGAGAAAAGAGAGGTACGTGTAATTCCTTAGAAATTAAGTCTTATTTCTGGGGAAATATGCCCAGATGCAAACATTTCCCATGTAATTCGACTCCAACTGAAACAGTCTGAAATGGAAGAAAATTGAAATAAAGATAAAACAATACACACGATAGTACAATCTGGTGTTATCAGCAACTTCAAAAATTGTAAATAAGCAATAAATCAGCATGGTTTTCTTCTAACAAATCGTTCCAAATCCTCCTTCGTTTTTGGTCGTAACTGTGGTTCCTAGGAGGATAGGTTCCTTGTTCAAATATTTAATAATAGAACTTGCTATATACAGAGAAGCTATGGAGGGAATTTGTTGATTTTTTAACAATATCACTTGTTCTTTAGTCCAATCTTTAAGGCTTGGCTACATTAAAAAAAAGTTTGCTAGAGCAATCTAGAAATAGATTGCACTAAATGGAATTTCCTTTAGGCTGCAATTTCTTATACGTTTATTTGAAAGTAAATCCCAAGAAAATAAATTTGTTTGGCTTCTAAACAGGGTAAAGAAGCATGATTAATGTACATTGCCTTATTTTAGGCTTATTAATAAGTATAGTTAATTAATATAATTACTATATGTCTATATATCAGATTGATTTTTATCTACCAGTTGAACTAAATTGAGTTAAACAAAGTATTAAATATATAATTAAAATATATTATTAGAAAGAATGAGAATTGTATTTCTAATATATTTAAGATCAAAGGAGAAGAGTTGCACCCCTTGATTTTGAAACCCTTGGTTATACTTTAAGAAGCAGGGCAATTACACTGGAAGGGATCTTATTGGTATAATTTCATCAAGGAAATTATTTAGAAAGCTATTAAAGAAAATGGGATTTTTCTTTTTGCAAGGGCAGAGAGATTTCTCTAAACAGTCACCCAATCTGAAATGCTGCTTATTTTTTATTTAATGATCTGTATTTAAAATTATTTTATAGATGTATAAATACATATAAGGGAGAAATGGGAAAGTGAAGTTTTAAAGCATGAAATATTTTTCAAACAAATTTGCTCTGGATCTGGTTGAGTGTACTTATTTACACACAAATAGACCCATACAGACACCCATACAGACACAAACACACGCACACTGTAATAAGGAGCAAAAAGAAATAAAAGTGTTGGTCTCCTTTGGTCTTTATTATTAGCTCTCTCGCTCACCCACCCACCCACATAGAAGAGTACACACGCACAGAATATGCACACACTGCTACACGTTTTAGACGTTTTTAATTCACCGCCTAAATAATTTTTTAAGTGTGCCCACTTGATAAACTACCCGCTCACTGAGAGAGCAAGGAGCAAACCAGCCTCTTCGCTCCCAGTCCCAGGGAAAGGGCGTTATCACAATGCGGGTCACGGAAGAGACAGCGCAGCTCCGCAAGTAGGTCGCTCCGCCTGGCGGCGCATTGGCGACAGCAACACAGAAGCTCGGGCCCTCTCCTGCCTTTCAGACATCCCGGCGGCCGCCTTCGGCTGCAGAGAGCGATAAACGGCCGAACGACCGCGCTCTCTTGTCCGGGGATGATGAGCCTCTCTAAAGCCTGACTTCTGGGGAAAAGGCTACTGCGTTGTTTAAGGATTGGAAATGCATAGAGCCCGTCTTTTCTTTTACCAAATGAATTTATGCCCAGCGGAGGGTTTAGGGGCGGGGAAGAGGGAGGAATAAAAGAGAAAACAAAGGTCGACAGTGTAGAAGTTGGTTCGTCCCCATTGAAACGATCATTATCAAATCATGTTTAAAGAGAGAGAAAAAAAAAATCCCACCGGCTTCAGGCATGTTATATTTTTTTAATCGCTTCGCCTTTCAGAAAACAGTTTCTTGTTTTAATCTCGGTGGAGCGGGAAAGGCTCGGTGTATTTACTCCTCTGCCAACGACCGAGCCGGTCTTCACGGTCAACCCGCCCGCCCCGAGGTGTCCTCGGGTGGTCCGAGCGAAGGTCCTCCTGGGAAAAGGTCCAGGCTGAAGAGAAGAGCCAAAACTTAAGAGACCCTAAGACCTCCTCGACCGAAGCACGCCCCGTTGAGCACAAGGGGACAAGCAGCCGATTGACAAACCTCGGGATTGGCGTTTACTTACATCCCGGCAGGGTTTCCAACCAACCGGCCTTCTGCCGGGCGAAACCCCGACTCGGGCTTTCATTTCTCTGCTACCCAGCGCATAAAAGGGTTGGGGAGAATGTCTTCTTTGAGGGGTCCCCCGTCCCTCCCCCCCAAATCGCGCGACCCTCCCCCTCTCCGTTCCTCCTTGACTGGATCCTGCGCAGCGCTTGGACAATTTCCCTCACATTTTGGGACATTTTCCGGCGGCAACGCTGGAGTTCGGATCTCTTATTTTTAATTCCGAAGCACTTTCTCTCCTCCGCTGCCTCCAGTTTAAGAAACGAATGACAACTGCCCGCCATTCGGAGGGGGAGGGGAAAGGCGAAGGAAGGTCTGAAGCGGTCCGGTTGGCGGGGCGGGGGAGAGGGGGGAGGGAGTTCCGGGGGCGCCCCTCCCCCCCACCCCAAGGTTCCCAGCGGGTCTTTTTAGGCCCGGAATGAGGCTCCGGTTTTGCCCTCTGGCCTCTTCTCGCTCGCTCGGATCCCGCTCCCCGAGCTCCCCTCCCCCTCCTCCCGCCGCTCTTTTCCCGGAGTCTTTTCCCGGTTATGGCGCTGACGTTTGGAGCCATGTGACTCTCCGCTGCGCTCCCCGCCCCGCCCGCCCGCCCGCGGGAGGAGAAAAGGCCATCCCCTTTGGGCACGGCTTCAGCCTGGCCAAGCTCGTCCGCGGGCTCCGCTGCTTTTGCCAGCCTCCCCGAGAAGCGTCGCGGTTGCTTTCCCCGCAGGGTTCATTCCTAACTGAGGGGAACGGCGGAAGGGAGCAAGCTCCCGGCTCGCCCACCCGCCGGAGAAGCCATCCCCTCAGTCCGGCAAGCCAACTCCGGCTGGTGGAGGAGCGCCGGGCCCAAAGCGGCGCGCGGCTGACCGGGACCGACACCTCCCGCGGGCAGCTGCCCCGCCGCCTCCCCGCCCGCTGCGCCCATGCCCGGTTCCGCCAAGCGATGACTCTGAGCGCGGAGATGTCCGCCTCCGCCTTGGCCGAAGAGACAGACATCGACGTGGTCGGGGAGGGAGAGGACGAGGGGGGCGGCGACGAGGATGAGGACGACGAGGAGGAGCCCCCTCCTCGGCGTCCCTACGACGGGGAGGAGGACGAGGCCATCTCACTGCCCAGGTCCCCCGGGGGGCGCGCGCCGGCAGGGTCCCCTGGCTCCGGCTCGCCCTCCTCGCCCTCCTCCTCGTCCTCCGGCTCCTCCTCGCAGCCGGGACCCTTCAGGGCGGCGGGCGGCGGCAAGAGCAGCCTGGTGAAGCCTCCCTACTCGTACATCGCGCTCATCACCATGGCCATCCTGCAGAGCCCCAAGAAGCGGCTGACGCTGAGCGAGATCTGCGAGTTCATCAGCGGCCGCTTCCCATACTACCGCGAGAAGTTCCCGGCCTGGCAGAACTCCATCCGCCACAACCTGTCGCTCAACGACTGCTTCGTCAAGATCCCCCGCGAGCCGGGCAATCCGGGCAAGGGCAACTACTGGACTCTGGACCCGGAGTCCGCCGACATGTTCGACAACGGCAGCTTCCTGCGGCGCAGGAAGCGCTTCAAGAGGCAGCCGCTGCCGGCGTCCGAATTGCTCCTCCGCGGGCTCGAACCCTCCGCCGCCGCCTTCCTTCACCCGCCGGCCGCACAGCCGCCGCCGCCGACCGGGCACCCCGGCCAACCCCCCGCGTACGCCTACGGGCCTTACAGCTGCGGCTACGGGCTCCACCTCCAGCCCTACCCGGCGCCCTCGACTCTCTTCGCTTTCCAGCCCCAGGAGAGGCGGCCGTCGGCGTCGGGCCCCGTCCTGCCACCTGCCCCGCCTTCCCTCCTGGGCCCGGCAGCGGCGGCGGGACCGGAGCTGGCCCGGACTACCAGTTTCAACTACGCGGCCCAGCTCGGCCCGTCGCTGGCCGCTTCTTTGCACGCGGCCGCCACCAAGACCACTTCGGTCTTGGCGCGCTCCCCGTTCTCCATTGAGAGCCTCATCGGAGGCAGCGTGAGCCCCGGGCTGGGGAACCGCTGCGGGTCTCAGGCCGCGGGGCTGCCGGTCCTGGCACGAACTTTGATGGCCTCGCCGTCGCCTTCGCCCTCGCTGGCTTCTCCCGCCGCCGCCGCCGCCGCCGCCTCTCTGGGAACTCTGCCCCACGGGGCGGCCTTGGGCAGCATGGAAAGCTGCGCGGCCAGGATTTCCAATTGCTAGCTGCCTGGGCCAGCCTCGTCTCCCTTCGGCTTTGGAGAGCAGCGACGCGGAGAGACCTTTCCGGACAGATCGACTCGCTGGTTGGTTTCTCTGTGCCCTTTTTCCTCGCTTGTCTCTGGCCTTCCGGTCTGCTCCTTCTTCCGTACCTCTATTTATGCAAAGCCATTTCTACATGCTGCAGAGACAGATGGCGGAGAAACGGTCCTCGGCTCTCTGCTTTGAAAACAGACGCCGTCCTTCCCCCCCCGCCCTTTACAATATCTTCTTTTTAAAAAGTTTTATTTACTTTCCGCTGCAGAGCGCGCTGGAGTCCCCCAGGAAGGAAGGAAGGAAGGAAGGAGGGGGGACATGGGAATCCAGCAAAAATGGTGAGAGAGTCGGTCTTTTGCCGCTCATTCCCCCCCCCCCCCCCCCCGTACTTCTTCTGCACGGAAAGATCAAAATGTTTACATAGAAGAGATTGTCATTGTCGTTTTAATCTGGGGTATGTATGAATGGAAGGCTCTTTGTCTTTTCAATTTGTATTTTATGCATATTCTTTATCAGGATTATTGTTAAGAGGACTGACAAGTTTTATTGTACCTTCCAATTTTATTTTATTTTTAAAAAAACGCTTTTTTTTTTTTACATATTTCCAGAAATAAAGCAAATGATTTTTCAAGAAAATAAATCCCGCTATTGGCTTTAGGGCTTCAGGTCTTTAGTGTTCTGCCCTGTGAAAATGTATTTGTAGTTCTAATTCTATCAATATTTAGGCAGATGAATAAAAATAATAACAAACAATAATAGCAGCAAATGTTTTCTCAGAGGAGGTATGGTTCTCAAGATTTAGCCATAACTTAATCCTGATGAAAGGTCATTAAATCTTATCATATTTCCATGAGATTAGCAACTTTGAAATGAAGTTGTACATTCCCTCTTTCCTGCAGTTGGTCTTCAATAATCCCACAGGCTCATAGTTGAAATCAGTGGGACTTCCTTTGTGCTTAACTGTAAGCCAATAGGCTTATGGTGAAAACTGAATTTAACTACCTCATTCCTTGATCTACCCTGGTAGAAACCATTATAATGCAGCAGACATAGAATAATATTTTTTTAGTTTTCCTAAACAAATAACTCAAATGAGGGTAAGGAATAACCAAAAAAAAACAACAACTAACAACAAGGAGCTCTTTTAAAGATGGATAAAGTCTGGTAGCTGTAAGTTATAATCTTCTCTAAGGACAACCTTGTGTATTTGAAGCAAATGAATGTAAATTCTTTCAAGGATTTCAGAGTATAATGAACTTGGCAAGCTGGTCACATTTGTCTGTGTCCCCCACCAATCTGTGTGATAGATTATAGATGAAGGGCACCTATTTATGGGTTTAGCATTTTAAACACACAAATAATGCAGATATCTGCCTACCTTCCCAGCATTCATATTTGAATAGAAGCATGCATGCATTAAAAAAAAACATCCAATTAAACAGAGTTGCCTTAACTGCAGACAAATATTCAGCACTTACTATATTGCTTTTAAATATATAGAAGTATAGAAAATGCTTTGAGCTGGTCTGGCAATTTGAAAGCCGATGAGCAGTTAAAACAGATTTTTTAAAAAACTTACATGTTGCTAATTATAGGGTAAATATAGTAACTGGTCTGATGTATTAATTTTGAAATAATTTTCAGTTCAGACAAAAAGAGCCTTTTCCCTGAAATGTCTGCATATACCTAGAAACAAGCTACCTCTACAATATTTTGGTATTTCAAAAAAAAAATTAAATTTAACACAAATGTTAAGGAATTCTAAAACCATATTTTATGTTTGCCTGGTTATGTTTGCCTTAAGGAAGAGTAATCATTATTAATTTGTAAGGCATATTTGAATACTGTTCCATTCTATAGTATACTGTAAAGGAGCAGCACATTCCTTTGGGGGGGAAAAAAACCTATATAAATAAATGCTTCATGTGTTCTTTTCCAGAAAAAACAACAACCACCATACAGAGTTGTTCAGAGCTTTAATAGCCAGGTATATGGGAACTCTGCTGAAAAATGTTGTATTATCTCGCTAAAAACTTGATTGCACTGTAGCAATCAGTGCACTCAGTGCATTGAGCAGGTGCTTAGCAGAAAAACAGGAAGTCAACACCTCTCTCCTGAAACTCTTTAGGTATAACTATGAATACTATGATGCCTCTGGCAAAACTCACCTGTAGAACTCTGGATCTGGCTGCCTAACTTGAGTCTACTTTTCCTAAACTGTTACAATCAATAATTTCCTTAGTTCCTAAAACTGTTGCCTAGATTTTTCGTTATGTGCAAATTTGTTGCTCTCAGTTAATGTTTCAATTCGAAGACAATGCAATTTATTTGTCAAAAAGTCATGGGGATAATTTTAAAGTGCTGGCAACTCTTATCTGCATTAATATTGTTTGGTTTTCCTAAGGATTCAGAAGGCGGCAACCCGATTTCTTGTCTTGGGAGCAAATAACCAACGTCTATATATATTTTAAAAAGCCAGACTCCTCAAAGATATAAACAAAGTGATTTCTAAATGAATTTTCTAATTTCCTAAAAACTCAGGAAACTATGCTGATCTTTCATTTAGTAAGGACCTACATTGTCATTTGTTCAAAAGTTCTCCCAGAAATGATTGCGAGTTGGGGAGGCTTTGTGAGGTGTGTATTTGGAGAGGTGAGAGACCAAAGCTGAAAGACAAGCAAGGACTGCTGCGTTTAGAGGCCTTTCTCTCCTGCGGGTGCCTTCTTCTTCCCGGACAGTTAAGCGGTCAGCGGCGTTCTCTCCCTTGGCCATTTTGTATCGGCGTTAGGTGAGCTGCTCCAGCACCTCCATGTTTTGTTATAGCCGGACTTCTCTGGGGGAATCCTCCGCTTTGCGGCGGTGACCCCTTCCCTTCCCTTCGAGCCTCTGCCCTTGCTGGCCTGCTGGAGGCTGCCTGCTCGAGGCCACGGCCCTGGGAAGAAAGGGACCCCCGCACCAAAGGGTCAGTAGCGAAGCGGGCAATTCAGTTCGGCCGAGCAGATGCTGAGAAGGACAAACCCGTACTGTCTTTTAAGGCAGGGGTCTCCAACCTTGGCAACTTTAAGCCTGGAGGACTTC